TGGCATGTATGCCTAGATTTTAGCATTGATTATCTGTTTGTGCCATTAAAGTTCTGCTTCTGTGACACATGGTAATAATGAGATGCTATCCTATGGGATAGTTTGTGAAAGTTATATTTGGGCAAAAAGTATTGTTTTTACCAATTGCTGACCGAGTTTTCTTTTTTTGAGTACTTGGAAGGATGATAGCATAGTCTAACAATTTGACCTTGAAATCATTTTGCCCTCTTTAAAAAGTTCAGAAAGTTTATTTCATAAAACATATTATTTATCTAGCATACCCTGCCTTTTCTGAAGAGATAGACATGTATAGATTGTCTTTGGAAATTACAAAAGAATTATAATAGCAATAGCACTTAGACTTATATACTGCTTCACAGTGCTTTACAGCCCTCTCTTAAGTGGTTTACAGAGTCAGCATTTCCCCCCCAACAATCTGGGTCTTCGTTTTACCGACCTCGCATGGATGGAAGGCTGAGTCAGCTTTGAGCTTGGTGAGATGTACTATGAGGAAATCTTGCAGTTTGACATAACATTTTCTTTCATATGAATTTAATTCCTCTAATAGTAAATCTTCACAAAATTTTAGTTCAGTAAAAACCAGATTTAATAGATTGTGACTTAAGTAAATACATTGTGTTTGCTGAATGCAGTATGAAAACACGATTTCGTCAATACAGAAGTCTTATTTGTAGAATGAGGCATATAAATTTCTAAGTAACAAATATTGTACCTTGGTACTTGACACTTCAAAACTTGCCGAATTTAGTACTCAATGCATTTTGACATGAAAATGTTGTCCCAGTACTTGTTGTTTGTTTGGTACTCAACATGCTGCAGTAGAAAGAGGGGGAGAATGGACAGGAAGACAGCCATGCTGGGAAGGTCACTGCAAAAGAAAATGGGGGATAGCTGCAGAGGGCGAACAGGAAGTCAGCCATCTGGGAAGGTCGCTGATATAGGAAAGGGGACAGACAGAAAGTTCTTCCCAGCCAAAACACAGGGTCATGTAAGTCACATGGTTTGCTTGGTATTCGTTGTTTTTAGTATTCATCACATCTCCCAGAACCAATTAACAATGACTACCTAGGTACCACTGTACAGTAAAAAGGAAACAATTATTTTCTTCTTTCCCCAACTTTAGCCATGCTTTTCATGGATATCTAATTTAAGCTCATCTTCTTTTAAGATACACAAAAATAGGTACAAAAATTTGTACATACAGGAACCAGGTTGGATAGGATAGGATAGGATAGGATTGCGTTGCGTTGCGTTGCGTTGCGTTGCGTTGCATTGCATTGCATTGCATTGCATTGCATTGCATTGCATTGCATTGGATTCTTTATTGGCCAAGTGTGATTGGACACACAAGGAATTTCTCTTGGTGCATACGCTCTCAGAGTACATAAATTATGTAATCGTATGGGAAATAAATATGAGCTGTATGCGTGCACCTCAAATGTTTCTCCTCGAGAAAGGGAATGGAAACATATTGCTCACGTTAAAGTGATTGTTATATGAACTAATATAGCAAATTGGGTGTTAACAGGTGCAAAGTAAGGTTAGGTAGCAATAAATACTTTGCCAAAACTCTGGAAAGAAACAATGCTTAAACAGTATATTATCCATTTCAGAAAATTGCATCTCTTCAAGTCAATATCCCTGAAGGGGGAATATTTTAGGACTGATTTACAAGACAATAGTAGCCAGAATTGAAACAAATATCACTCATATCCCACCTATAAGTACTGTCAGGCCTCATCTTACTGGTATATTGAATCCAGCCAAGGCCAGCCAGGTGTTATCATCTGCTTAGGCATGGAGGCAGCAGGGATATGTAAAATAACTGAAATATCTATGGACTTGAAACTGTCGAAACAAACATTGCTTGCTTTTCCAGCATTCAGTAAATGCCAGAATATGTCAGAACTATGTAGCGTACTATAACATAAACCACAGTGCCTGCATTTCATTAGTTGGGAACCTTTGCAAAGCAACTTTTGGAAAGGATCAGTTTAGTGACCTGCATCCATATCTGGACTGTCCTTTTTTGACTGTAAGTATGTGCTACTATGGGGATGCTGTGGCTCAGTAGCTAAGACGCTGACTTATCGATCGAAAGGTCGGCAGTTCAGCAGTTCGAATCCCTAGTGCCGCATAACGGGGTGAGCCCCCATTACTTGTCCCAGCTTCTGCCAACCTAGCAGTTCGAAAGCAGGTAAAAAATGCAAGTAGAAAAATAGGGACCACCTTTGGTGGGAAGGTAACAGTGTTCTGTGCACCTTTGGTGTTTAATCATGCTGGCCACATGACCACAGAGACGTCTTCGGATAGTGCTGGCTCTTTAAAATGGAGATGAGCACCGTCCCCTAGAGTCGGGAACGACTAGCACAAATGTGTAAGGGGAACTTTTACCTTTTTATGTGCTGCTAACTATCATAAATGTTAAAATGAGCCAGCATGAGCCAAATACAAAAACAGGCCTCTTCAGGAAGATATATTGATTCAGTTGGCTCTTGAAAAGATTGAGTCCAAATTAAAAATATGTGTATTATTATTCTCTCATTTGTACTATTTCTCAATTTTATCAACTGCCTTAATTGGAGTTAGTGCCATTTACATATGTTCTGCATTCCTGAACAGTTGTTTTGGCTTCCTGTTGGATACTCCAAGGAACAAATGTGTCGTGTAGATTAGAGGAGTGGTATATAAGATTAGAATTGATAAGATTGCCCACAGGCTACATTGGCAAACCACAAAGTTTCTTGGGAAGTAGAAGGAAGGAATAGTGGTTTCCAGTTATAGAATGAAGAAAAATCCTGGATTTTCAGGTTGTGACAGTTGCATTGTGAAGTGTTTTTAGATCCTCCCCTTTTTTCTTTTCTTTTTTTTAATTCTCAGGCAATAATTTCTCTGTATAGTAAAAGCAGCAGTAAATCCAGTAGCAATACCATATCTGATTTGTAATGCCAATCATCTCCTCTATTAGAACAGACATTTTTGTTCTGTGGTTTTGTTTGTGTAACTTATTTATGCCTTCTGTTTTACATATTCCTCGATTTGAAGTATTGGTAGCCTCTTTTTAAAAGAGATCTTTTCTATAAAAATATGAAATAAATATACAGGTAGTTCTCAACTTAAGACCATAATGGAGACTATAAGTCAACTGTAAGTCGTGACGGTCATAAAGTAGGGTACCATGTGTCTGACCTTTTTTGCGGCAGTCATTAAATGAATCACCATGTTTGTTATTTGATCCATGGTTGTTAAGCAAACTCCACACTTGTTAAGCAAACTCATTGTTTGCTTTTGGGCATTTTTGCTGAAAACAAAAATAAATGTTGTTTTTCAGCAAAAACATTGTAAAGCCACTGTCGCATAATCACAGAATACTACAAGCAAGCAGCTATAAATGCAGGCTAGTTGGTGGGCACCCAAATGCTGTCATATGACTATGGGAAGCAGCATCCATCAGAACTTCAGAACTGGGTCATAAGTATCTTTTGGAGTGTCTGTCATAACTTTGAATAGTTGCTAAACGACCAGCTATAAGTTGAGAACAGAGTAATTAACCCTATTTTTAAAGTAAATTCATATCTGTAGGTATGTTATATTTAATTGTTGTGAAAAGTAGTTGAAGGATCTTATGTGACCTTTTTATATTTCACTTCTGTAAGCAATAAACCTAGATTTCTTTTAAAAGTGTTTATTATAACTTTAACTATTCTTTTGATTGTGGATCTGCAAGTAAACAAAATCTAGAGCCAGAATTGCTCAGATGCAGGTTTTCCTTCTGATAAGGATAAGTTTAACTGAAGAACATTTGATTGATATCTAGAATCTCTTTAATGGAAGGCTTTTAATCATTTCAGATAAATAACCTGCAGAGATTATTTAGATAGGGGATCTCTTTTCTGAAACTATCTCACTTCCTTTTCTTAAACTTGAAAGCTAAACATTCTTTCTTCCTATCCTCAATGAACCTTATACTATCACTCTTCTGATGTTTCTTTTCTAATGTAGTTAGTAAAAGATTCTGATAGATCTGTTATCTCTTGTTCAGATCATGTTTCTGTTGAAACAAAATGGGCTTTTGTAGAACAGATGAAATGTTCTACTTTTAGACGATTGTAAATGCTAAATAATTACTTTGATAAATTATTTAGATTAAATAAGAAAAAAGGGGATTCTCGGGTAGTGCTAAAACAGGGGTGTCAAACTCGGGGCGTCACATTGTCATGTGACATATCACAACTTTTTCCCCCTTTGCAAAACGGAGTGGGGGTGGCCAGTGTGTGATGCATCTGGCCCGCAGGCTGCGAGTTTGCTAAATAATAGGAATATGTGAAATTTACTTTCTTAAAATTACAAAACACAGTTGTTTTTATATGTGTTTTAGTTCCATTACAACTGAATAACATCGTACGACTTCCTAGGAAAAGATCCAAAAACCAATTGTTGATCCAGAAATAAAATAACCAAGTTGTTAATAGGAGATTGACTCAATTATTACACCAAGTGCACCATTAGCTTTCATCCTTTACTTAGTGTCAGTACAAAGTATTGTGGGTAATCTTTGAAGAAATGGTTTAGAACCTGGCTGTTAATATAATTTGGTATCTGAGCCTGCTGTTTTCTAAGAATTTCTCCACATGAGATCGTGCAAAAGAGTCACATCATGGATCCCCTCTGTTAAAGAGTGCTATCTCGCAGGGCCCAGAAAGAGATCTTTTCCTCTGAGGCGCCTGTTCTTTGGAGTATCACCATATGAAAGATTAGATTAGCCCCAACCTGGTGGCCTTCGGCCATCTTTGAAGACCTTGTTATGCCATTGGAGATGTGACAGAGCCCTTGGGATGATTGTGTTGATGGCTTGGATTGATTTATTTTAAGTTAATTTTAAGTTTTTAACTGCTATTCATCACCCAGAGTCGTGAAATTGAGATAGATGGTTATATAAACCTAAATAAATAATACAAACTTTTGACATTTATACATACGGTTGTAATGATGTTAACACATAATACTACGTTAGCTTCTTCTGCTCCATGATCTTCTGACACCAAAGAGAGAGAAAAAATGTTTTCAGATTTAATATGTGAGTGTTCCAACTTGTGGCGAAAACTTTCAGAACAATAAATCATGTGCTTTCCTTGTACGGTATCTTGCAGATGCAGTAAGACAAGACCACACCACCAGATTTGTCCTCCCACAACAGCAAAGTTATTGGACAACTAAAAGTTGCTGTTTTTGTTATTACGTGTCAGATTCTGAGCATCTATGCTGGTGGAGTCTAGATTTTCAGTGATTGTGGTCAGTCTGAGGAAACTGTGATGCGATAAGATAGCATTTGTGAGGTCATGTGGTTAGCAAATACCCAATCTAACATAGCAGCTTTATGGACCCTCGGTTTTAAAGTAACTTTATTCACTCTGATATGTTGAAGGATGTGTGTATTTTTGAAAAACAGAGCTGCTGTTCATGCCAGATAGTTATTAAAGTTGAGGGCCTTAATAGCATTGTGTGTGTGTGTGTGTGTGTGTGTGTGTGTGTGAGAGAGAGAGAGAGAGAGAGAGAGAGAGAGAGAGAGTCTCCCTTCTTGTGCCATTTTTAGGAGCTCAGATTCCGTTCAAAAGACACATTTCGGGAGAGAAGGAGAATGAGAACACAGCACCCAGTCTGTGACTTGTAACAGCCACATCCTTATTTTCTATGATTGCATGGCTGCTACAGAGAGAAACTTCCATTGTAACAGGATGATGCTGGAAACAGATGTAGCTCCTTTAATAAATCACAGACAGGAACTGAGTTTGTTGTATTGTGCATTTTGAAGCACTCCTTCCAAATTGAATCCAAAAACCATGTTGTTTTCTAATTTACCCCAGAATTGTCTGAAAGAAGGTGTAACCTACAAATTTAATATTTACATGTTGCGCTCTGTGTTTAAGATAATTGGCAAAACGTTTAACATAATTCATATCCAACTGGATAGTTCTTTTCCCTTTCCCACCCTCTGACACCATCACGGTAGAAACTTCAGTCTACAGGTAGTCCTCAACTTAGGAACACAATTGGGCCTGGGATCTTCAGTTGTTGAGCAAAGTGGTCATCAATTAAGATATCATGTGACCAGGGACTACCTGTATTTTCATTGCTTTCCTATAGTTAAACCACCTGATTAACTGAAGTCTAATGGAAGCTGTTTCAAGTATGGTGTCTTTTCATTTTTGTTTGTAATTTTAGGGTAGTTTTTACTGATTATTATCCACCCCAGTTCCATGGTGTGGAGGGGGAGATCATATAAATTTAATTTAAATCAATAAGCATAACTCTTTTGTTGTTGTTGCTAATGTTGTTACACAATGTGAAATACAGAGGGCTATATTTTTTGGAAGCTAACTGAGACAAGGAACAGAAGAACGAGTTTGTGAAACGTATATGTCAATATATACATTTTAATAGAAAAATTTAATAGAAAAAATAATGCTGATAAGAATCATAGGTGAATGGGGATTTTATAATTCAGCTCAATTTTATAAGAAACAAAATTTCTTTTTTCAATCTGACTTAATGAGACCATAATTGATCATTTTAAGCAGTCTTCCGTTACACGTCTTTATTAGGTTATTTATCACTATGTCTTTATTTTCTTTAAAATTTAGTATGGCTGCTGAGGATTATCATTCTCTGTTGAATCCTACACTTGCTACTAGCAGCGTAAGTCTTTCAAACCGACTAAATCAACGGTCCCCAATCTTTGCAGCTTGGTGGCCCGGCTGGGGCGGGGGAGAGGGGAATTGGACGGTTGAGCGGCATGTTGGAAGTGCATACGCAGCTGCACTTGTGCAAATTAAGCTGTGCACATACACCCTGGCCTGCTGCTTATGCAGCCCGGCTGCAAATAAGCCACAGCCCCAGTAGTAGGTCGTGGCCCAAAGGTTGAAGACTCTGTGCTAAATAATACGGCGCTAGGATCTGTTTTGCAATAAGCAAAGTTGCTTATAGAATTGAGTTTGAAACATGTTCTTCTGATTGCATGCTATCGTTTCAATCACATACTTTCTATTAAGATTTCAAAACTTTTGATTATATGGTATTAGCACAGTGATCAAAAAGTCATGACCCTGCCTGATCAAGTTATTGGTTTCCTGTTCTGACTTACTTGAAATATTTTGCTCTGAATGTATCACAAGTTTTAATCTTTGTCAAGCTAGCACTACAACATCTTAGTGTTAAAAATCTTTTTTTTTCCGGTTTGCTGTTTAGCTTTAGATAAGTGATAAAGCTGCAAAAACCTACTCCCATGACTTAAAAAAAAAAATCATTCAGATGTTTAGAACATAAATATGTATCCCGAATTAAGATATGCATAACTTTAATTTTCAGTCTAATTATACTTTTGGTATTTCTGTAAAAGTGAAGTGTCACAAATGCTCAGCTGTAACAAAACTGCATCATCATAATTTGTGGACATTTGAACCATTTACAAATATTCAGGTTTTATGTTGATAACACTTACCTGAAAAGCAAGCATTTTCCACCACTACCACCCCGAAAATTAATAGAATCCTCCCTCCCACCCAATCCCTACCCACCTCTTATGTATATTGTTGTATTGTCAGGAAATCTAAGTTGACTACCATATTCCCTTTTAAAGGTGAATTATTTAGGAAGAAATATGTTCTTTATTTCAGATAAATGCAGTAATTATGAATGGCTCACATTAATAGCAGCTTTTGCCTGAAATAATATGTGTGAATTGATTCTGGATCTCATTTGTATGACATATGCCATGAGAATTAATCATTACTAACAGTGGTGGGTTCCTCCCGGTTCGGTCCGGTTCGGCCAAGCCGGTAGCGGTGACAATATGACGTCACTGAACCGGTTCTCCCCACCCACCCACCCACGTTATTTTATTTGGTCCCACCCCCAATCTATTGCTGCCTCCTGAGTCCCAGCTGATGACTGGAGGGAAAAAAACTGTTTAAACTCTTGCTGCGGGGCTTCAAAGGCCCGTCCTACAGCTGATCAGTGTTATAAGCAAACAAATGAGTCAGGTCGTAAGTGCGAGGACTGGTCGTAAGTGCAAGGACCTTCCAGAAATGACTCTGACCAGCTAACCATGCCCACCTAGTCACATGACCTCCAAACCACACCCACAAAATAAGCCACGCCCATAGAACCGGTAGTAAAAAAATTTAGAACCCACCCCTGATTACTAAACATATTTGTTACCTCTTCTTAGGTCATGGGGTATATAATAGTTTTCCTTTTGAGATATGGCGTGGGCTAAAGGAAATTAAACTGACTATTACACAATCCAGTTATCCAGTCACATTGCCTATACAGATAGTCCTCGATTTACAACAATTCATTTAGTGACTTTTCGAAGTTACAACTCACTTGCGCGAGTGGAGCTTCATGCGTGCACACTTACCACCCCTTGTGTGAGTGGACCTTCATGTGCACACCCATCTCTCCGGTGGTCCAGTTATGAACCACGGCCCGGGAGTTGGGGACCCCTGCTATAGACCAATAGCAAGAGGGCTCACCACAAGATATTACACTTATGGCTATTTTACTATTTGGTCCACCTTCCTTTAGGCCCAGTTCAGCATTTTGGTTCTTTTGGGACACACCTGGACAAGGATTATTGAGATAATCAGAGTAGATATTGTAGGAGGAGACTGATTATGGTAGCCAACAGCTACCAGAATGAATCCATTAGCACCTTTTCAGATTCACAATTTCATATTATTTGCCCCTAATAAAAGTTTGATTTGATTTGAGATTAACAATTTATTAAAAGGCATGAGCACCTGTTGAGGTGAATCACAGTTCACAAACACAGATTGCCTTTTAATAAAGTTTGTCAGTCTAAAAGGTGCTAACAGGCTCCTTCTGATTAATCAGTTGTTGTTTTTTGTACTGATGCTGGCTGAGGTAGGGCTGCTTTATTATATCTCGGTAATAATAGTATGCTTCCTAATTGTGTTGCTATCAAGAGAAACAAGCTGTGGAAGAAAGCTTCACACGCAAACTGTAGGTAAAAAAAGAAATTATACAGACATACAATTTGCATATTGCATAGCTTTCACAGTGCGGATGAATAAAAGTACTTTTGAGTTATATCATTTGTGCTCAACACTTTAAACACTGTGGAAGAGAAATATCAATGTTTCACAAATAGAGAACCAAAAGATATATGATGCAATGGATCTCTAACTGGAATTTGCATTGCCTACATTTTAATTTTAGAGTAACCAGTGTGCATCAGAGCAACAGAAACTGTAAATAATTCCAGAGTGTATATTTTCTATTTTTGGACGTAAAAGAAGTTGGTGGAAACATCTTAGACAGTGGGTTAAATTCTAAATCTATAAAATCACAGATTTTTGACAATTCTTAGCACCATCACTAAGGTGCAGTTCTGATTATAATAGGGGTAACAGTTCTTCAGCGTATATTCTTGGAAATTTCTTTATGGCAATATATTCTTTCTGTTGTTTAAGTGAAAGAAAACATTGAACTAAGGAATTTTTGTAATTAGACTGTATTTTCCTTCCCCCAAAGTAACATATTGGCCATTGATAATATTTTTTAGAGCATTTGAATCTTAAATGGCTGCCTTGGTTTGTTGCATTTAAAATTTAGATTAAAATGATTTAATACTTCTAATTTTTTTCTCTGCTATCTTTTTCTTCTTGCTTATGTTTGGGTGTAACAGTCAACTACAGGTAAGAAGAGCATGTTGTGAAAAAGTTCAAGCAGTACGAATTTCTGTCTTTTTGGAGCATGGCTATATTGTGTTCTCAAGAAGATAACCAGATTCAGTGTGGCAGATGTGGGTTTGTAGGTCCCTTGGTTCACTTCTTAATTCTGCATTTTCTAAAGTGACTGGAGACATTGGTAGGGAAATCAGTTGTCATTACTGCTAACATTATTTAAGCTACAAGTAGTTGGGGTAATAGTAGCCTGTGGTTTTGGCCAACTACCTTTCTGATGCTTAAGTTAAGGCACTCAATCCATCTAAGTGGGCAGCATCTAGTTAACTTTGGCTGATCTTAAAAAGCTAAGTACTGTGGGATCAGACTTAGGTACTATGTAGGTTGGAGACCATCATGGAATCCCAGTGCTGGAGGCTAAATTGGGAAGCTTTAAAAAAAAATCTGAAAAGAAGGAGTGGCAAACCAGTTGCATATATTGTCAGGAAAACTACATGGACATATGTATGAAGTTCATCCGGAATTAAGCTTGATAAGAAAGAAACTTGACTGGTTAATCTTTCTATTTCTTTATCCACACCATCTGGATCAT